TAGTTTTTTGAATTATTGATTTTTGACTCGTGTATATATCACTATACTCTGTCACATTCATTGGGAATTACTATACAAAAATACGGTATGGGTCATTGTTCCAATTCATCAGACAAGTGAAAACAAAATCAATAAAAAACATATCTCAAAGATATGAAAACGATAAAGAAAAACTTGTGAGATGAGCGAACCATAAAATAAAGAATATTGTTCACTTTTATTCAATCGAACAAATATTAATTTTTCTATTGATTTTTGTCTCAAATGTGAATTCAGCAACAAATGAAAGACGCTAGGATGAATCTAAAATTAGTTTATCACATTTCACTTTTACTTATACATAAATCTTTCTAATGTTAGAAGAAAACGAGAGAGGTGACCTATGTGCTTATACCATTATTCTCACTCTAGATAAATATATGAACGACAAAATCCATCTTCCTCGTTTTCTATAGTAAGAATAAAAATATAACATTATCATTCAATTACATGCTTGATGTCTTCGCAAACACTGAAGTTCAAAATATCAAGAGCAAGAGAGATTAACAACATAGTATGTTGACAACGAAAAAAGAACACTATCCTAATATACTTTTATTATTGTTGCTATTCTTTCTCATTCTACACGTAAAGCCAGTGAGTGAAATTAATTTCAAGGTAGAATGTGTAAACAAATGAATACGGACTCGAAGCATGGTTACATTCTTTTTTCATTCTTTCTTTCTTTTGCTTAATTGCATCTCATCAAAAGTATTTTATCACAATATGTCTCTCTAATTTGTAACGAGTTGGCAAGCTAAAATGAATTAGAATGTGTCAAAAATCAATTCAATACTGTTGACTGGATTTTGGCATTTTTTTTCTCACGTTTCAAGAATCAGTTCTTAACGGTTTTTGCTTTTTCTATGACAAGAACATTTTAAAATTTTTCATGATATGTGCGACAGCGGCATTGTTCAACAAATTTTTCGAAAGTTTTCTTAGTTGTGAAAATGCTTACATTAAACAATTGAAATTAATGATGGTGAAGAACAAATTTATGAAAAAATGGGAGAAAGATATTTCCGAAACTCAAACTTGAAATAGAAAAATTTCTAAACTTTGATATTTTTAGACAAACGTTCTGAACGGAATAAGATGTCAACATGGTATCGCCAATGGAAGTTTCCATCGGAGTTAAGAATAGTAGCCGACAGGGAGTATTGATGTTATCGATATGGTGGTGAAAAAGACCATTTACATCAATAACCCACATTCTTTCTCAATTGGCATAGCTGTTGGTATGAATATATATTCATGACATGTGTTGAAAACCTCTGTCTTATCAGTCTGCAGCCATTTAAACTTTTACTCTATCGATGAATAGTGTCCAATTCAGTATCAATGGATAGATCACATCGTATTTTATTTGATATAAATGGTTTGTTCATTAACACAGTTGTGAAAACGAATATATGATACTAATTCTTGATTTTCTGCTAAAAAAATAATGTTTGAAAAATAGGTTTTTTGAATTTTTAAGTGGCTTTTCTTAATAGAACTTTTTCGAAATGTATGCCCCGGACAGTATATATAGTGTACTATCTAACGCAACTAGTATCTTTTTTTGAGACAAGTGTGTTAGCGAATATTTTTCCAAAAACTCAAATTTATAGTTAACTTGGCCGATGTATAAAAAAATTTGTTGGAAAGGTTGGAGGTTTAAGGTACCCATATTTCTATGAATGAGAGCTCAAAAATTCGAGCAAGTCAATTTTCTAGTGATGCGCTTTCATAGGTAACCAATTCAAAAGTCTATTATTTTGCGCATCCCATGTTAAGATATCAATTCTTTTAAAAACTTTATGCAGCGAAATATGAAATAACAGTCAATTGATATTTGACGTGCTTTTGTAAAGATTTCTAGGTATTGATTAAATTCTGTTCAATATTCATATACATAGTCATTTATAGTATATTGTTTAGTTAATATACTATAAACAGTGAGATTCTCGGATAAATTGAGTCTATAGATTATGTGCAGTCCTGAGCAACAGACGTATTCAATCAGTCTTTGTTGTATCTCGGTATAAACAAAAGATTAAGATGAACAAAAAACAGCTGAAATACAGGAGAGCATAAACAACAACCTATTTCTTTTTAGTTGAATTGAAAAAATGGATATCGACTTAAAACGAATTTGAAGAACGTAATAGATTCTTCTTTTTTCTTTTCACATAATTAAGGATGTACATCTCTCATTTGATTCTGGTTGTTACAATAACGCCTTTATACTTGAAACGTTTATAACCTGCGTATTTAGCGAATATGCTCATCACCACTTCGTCTTCCGAAATATTTTAGTTTTTTTTTGACAATCAAAGCTAAAGCATTTTATAGATAACCTCATTATTCATAGATCGATCAATTATATTAGCACTTCTATTAACAATTTCTTTAACTATTACAAATAAAATATATTCCATCAGTTATACTTATGAGTGTCTTATTCCTTCAAATCTTCAAAGTTTCTTTTATCCAACATGTGTAAATTTTTTTCGTTGATATGTACAATAAAATCACGATAGGAATTATTAAATATCTTTCAAGGAAAATTTAGCAGGCATTCTATAAGGGAACTGGCAATTATGTGGCATAGTGACAAGAAATTCTTTTTAATTAACAAACTGTCGAAAGCCGTTCAATACTTTCCGAATAGCAAGTGCAGAAACTTCATCAACTGTGGTTCGACGTAATTGCTTAACTCTACAAACCTGGTTTTGTATATTTTTTGAAATCACTAGTACTATTTTAATCCATCATATTAAAACAACGATGATCTGTCGAGCGTCATTAGAACATTAACAATTGTTTGCAGCCGCTTATCAATGAAATTTAAAGATAAAGATCATCCTAATATACCCTTGCGATTAAACTGACGGTTCCAGTGTGTTTCCCAAAATATCACGTGGAACTGAGACCGTTAGATCCTTAGATACAAACAAAAATTTTAAATCTATTTTCAGACGTTTTCACTATTGCATTGCTGAGATTAAAGACGCCAAATATTTTAGTACTTAAAAAAACCAATATTTTAAATATATACTGAAATCTTTGAATTCAACAATGAAAATATGAAGATTTCTCAACATATCTATCTCATGTTTTAATAATTCTGGTTCAGTTCTCAATTCCAGTTTTTTTGGAATCACTGAACGTCGAATGCTATAACTACTTTATACTTCAAACATCTCATTTTGTAGTTTTTTAGTTATTCAATCTGATCAAATAAAGTCTAGACGATCAAGATCATGAATTCATTTAAATTCAAATGACTAGAGAAATGGTGTTGAAAACAGGGTTCAACGGATAAAATAAAAATTCGATTAACTTGTTTTGTTTTTTTTCAAAAATCTCTTTTCAAACTATCCTACATAGTTATTGCTTTTCATTCATTGCTAAATCAGTAATAATCCATGTTAATATCCTGCATGATTTATGTGTCTTTATAGTTTTATTCATTTATTGAAAATAAAAACTACTTTGATATTTTGTAATGTCACATAAAAAGTTAATGTTCTTGTCAGCCTTATATTAATGATACATGATCTCTATAGAGAGGATTTTGATTTATGAGGAAAATAGTCGTTTGTTTACTGATAATACGAAATACAATCGTCATACATGACAAATATATTTATGAATAATATCTCTGATTTATTGATATAGAGACGAGACAAAGCTATATTTTTGCTTTTATATTGATACCTTGATATTAAAGTAAAAAAGAAATATATACAAACGCATTTTTCTTCTGTATATTAAATTAAATATAATTAACATTTTGATAAATTTTTTTATTTTATTAAAAGAATTAAATGAGATATATAGAGAGAGAGAATAAGGGAAGTGAAAGTTTTTATCACATTAAAAAAAGAGATAATCAACAATATATTTGAATAATTTCGCCTCCATTATATATTTCAATAATATTTAAAGAATTTCAAGTGTGTACTTTTGACTTCATATTCAATATTGGTTGATTAGTTAAATGTGGCTGATAAAATGCATCGACTACGGCGATCTATGAATATAAGATGAATATAAATCAAAATAGATTCAAGCAGCAAAAAAAACAAATGATTAGTTTATGCGAACTATCATTAAGCAAATTGCATTCATTGAGCAAATCAAGTTAATATTAATATGCATTGCGTATATATATATATATATATATAAATCCTGTGTCCATCTTTGAATTTGTTATATTGTTTAGACGAGATGAAATAAATTATTTTAAAAAAAAAGCTATTATTTTTTAATTATTGTTCGACTACAGATGTGATCATCATCATCATCATCTTCATCACAAAAGAAAAAAAAAAGATTACAGAGACAAAATAGAAAGTTAGAGAGAACACAAAAAGAAACCGAAAGAAAAACTATCTAGCCTAAAGACAAAGGTAATACTATAAAGAAGAACGCAATGGGCAGTCATCATCACTCGGTGTAGTTTCTGTTTTTGTTTTTGTTCCGACTCAGATCGTCCCATTATCCTAGTGTTTTTAGATATATTTTTGTTGCGTGTAAACTATTGCGTTTTGTCATTGCCATCGATTTAGTATATATATAGCACCGCTTGACTGTGATAGACTGGTTTTGGAGAGAGAGAGAGCGACAAAAATGAGAAAATAAAAGAAAGAAATTATTCTGTAACGTACAAAAAAAAAGAAGAAAAAAGAGATTCTTTATCACACGATTGCAAAAAAAAGAGAGAGACAAAGACAGAACAAAAGACACACACACTCTAAATGCGCACGATGTTATGAGAATAAACGAGAGGGAGAGCAACAGAGAAGAAACAAGGATAAATATTGACAAAAAAAAAAGAGAAAATCAAACAGATTCGAAGGATTATGTATATATAGACGGGCCCGCCGAAATATTTATTATTTATTTTGTTCAACTGTTGCTCATATTATTTTTTCTTTATTTTTGTTTTTTTATTGTTTATTAATTGTCTAAAGTTGGGTATTTTCAAAGGTTGGTGATGATGGTTGATGATTATCAGTCATATTTGTGTTTATAGTTATAATAGGATTAAGAGAATGAGGACGAGTAAGAGGTCGATTGTCGTAATAAAACGAGGTTAATTTGGGCACAGTAGCGGCTCGTAGCCGATCTAATGTTGCATATTCAGGCGGTTGTCGATCAATTGAATCTTGAAATGCTTTTATCACACGAAGCTAGAATAACACGAATAAAGAAAGAAAAAAAAAAGAGACTTCTAAACCTGTGTAAAAAAAAAATAAAATAAAGTTTAAATATGACACACAAGATGGACAAATTATAAAGACAAGAAAACTAGCTAGAAAAACATACATATATATATATATATACATATACATATACATATGTATATATATTAAGCAGCAAGATTAAGCCAAAAATATTTAGCAGCAATCATAACAAACAATATTGAAAGCAATGATGTCGTTTTTTTGTTATTGTTTTTATTTTTGTTTTATGGACAAAAAAAAAAAGAATTCCGACTAGTTTTGCAATAAATTGAAAGTTATTAGACGCACAAACAATTGTGGTTAAATGGAATAAGGGTAAATAAAAAAAGAGAGAGAGAGAGAGAGAAAGACACGAAAAGGGATTTCAAAACTAAATAGGTGGATCAAACCTCGAAAGATATGAACAGACATGCTGGACATATGTATGACATTTTTTAGGATGAAGAGAATAATAGCACATATAGGTGCTTTTTCATATGGATGATAATATGGTTACCATTGGGAAGACGGCGATTTGGCAATATGTTCTTGGAAAGTTTTAACGACTTGTACCTGTCAGAGCGATTATAGATAGATAAGAAAAAAAAAACGAACATTGAAGAAGAAGCTACAATCAAATGTTTTTTTTTTCTTTTTTTTTTTGTGTAATTTAAAATATTTAGTTAATTTTTAAAATATAAACGAAACCAACACCAGTAAAAAAAATTTTGTTTTTATTTTTGTAAATATATGATTAAGGTTATGTTTACAAACCTGTGTTTGAAGACGTGTTATTCCTCTTAACCAAAGTATTTGTCCTTTTGTTAAACTTGTTCCTGGCCGTGTTTGTCCTTCTTGACCTAAATCAACGGGTAATGTTTGACTATAAACTTCACCTGAACCCCATTTTGGCATATGACGTGTCACCGGTATCAAATTAACGACCTAAATTAAAATCAATTTTTTTTTTTTTTTTTTTTTGGAAATAAATTTAAAAATTTTTTCTTTTTACTTGATTCCATACAAGTACTGTAACACCAAAGAACAAACACCACATCCATTGTTCAAATGTTAATGCAACACATGCAAATGCAAATGAACCATATTGAACAAGAAGAATTTGTACAACAAATGTAACAATCCATATACCATAGAAAATAGGATTTGTAAATATACCACGAAAAACATTTTTTTCACCATGAATTTTTCTACAATTTATTTCATTGAATAACGTCATTAAAACAAATACATTAAATATCATTGTAAAATGTTCTGATGGTTTAAATACATTATTTACTGGACGACCATCATCCATATCAAATACTTTAGGTCCTTGAATTTTAGAAAAAAGAAAACAAGAGACAATTTAAGAAACATGCTTTATCTTCTTTGTAAGAAACGACGTGCTGAAGTATATTGGTAACATCTTGTTATAATGTCTTAACTAAGGTAGAGTCCATTGAGTTCAGTTAACAGAAAAAGTTGAGACTCGAGCTCGATTAACTAGGGTAGCATATCGTTCACGGCTGTATTAGCCATTTCAAGAAAATAGCTGAATTTTATAGAATAGACTAAAGATTTTCGAGGTCTAGACATACAAATCTAAAGAAAGTATGTTCGAAATCTCCTCTTATGAGAAAGTAAATACCGTGATCTTTCTCAGGAACACTAAGAAAACTAATTTTCGAGTTTCGATTTGAAATCTCGCACTTTTACATCATCCATTTATAACAATAGATTATAAGAGTCGGAACTCGTTTAGGTCTACACGTCGTATATAATGCTGACCACAAAAACCATTTATCAATTGGAAGACTTCCATCGTTAGTCATATTTTTATAAAAATTCAACTATTTGCTTGAAATAAATCTTCATCGACTGAAAAAGTCATCATGCAATACCATCTTTTTACCGCTATGTATGCATTCCTAGATTACGGCACCTGTAATCACTGAAACTATTGTATTTAGTTCGATTGTCCTAATGAATACTATATTCTTACCAGCAAATAAAATAAAAAGCATAATAGCTAATTGATAAATAGCATGACCAAGAATATTTTTCATCATTGTGCGTGAAATTAATGGTCGTGTACGTCCATAAGGTTTACGTGTTAATAATTCTTCTGTTGGTACTTCTGTAGCAAGTGCCAATGATGCTAATGTATCCATAATTAAATTCACCCATAACATTTGTACAGCACGTAATGGAGATTCTTTAACAATACATGCACCAATAAAAGCACAAAATACAGCAACAACATTAACAGTTAATTGAAATTGAAGAAATTTTGCAATTGAATCATATACATTACGTCCCCACATAACGGCTTTAACAATTGAATTAAAATTATCATCGACAAGTATGATATCTGATGCTTCTTTTGCTACATCAGTACCTTGTATACCCTATGAAATAAAATAATATTTAATTCAAAACTATTCATTTTCAAAATAATTTCATTTTTATAAAGATTATATTAAAACAAAAACTAACCATAGCAAAACCAACATCAGCTTTTTTTAATGCCGGTCCATCATTTGTTCCATCACCCGTAACAGCAACAACTTCACGTGTTGGATTTCTTTTTGATGCAATTATACCTTTAACAAGTACATATTTATCTTGTGGTGATGAACGTGCTAATACACGTAATGATGGCCAAACTTTATCAATTAAATTTTGTTCAATCTACATTACACAAACAAATCAACTCTTAATAAAAGAAACACTTCTTTCTACTTCTCCATCTGGTTTTGCTCTTATACGTCGATTAAATTCTTTTCCTTCAAGTACTAAAAAACTATCATTTGGTGATATAATACCACATTTAAGTGCAATTGATCGAGCTGTATTAACATTATCACCTGTTACCATACGTACAGTTATACCAGCACTACGACATTTAGCTATAGCTTCAGGTACTTCAGGTCGTACAGGATCTTCAATACCACATATACAAACACATGTTAATTGATCAACAACATTTGCTTCATCATCCCAATCAGGTAATTTATCGGATGGAAAATCTCTATATGCAACACATATTGTACGTAAACCATCACATGCCATTGGTTCAATAACTGTTTGTACAAGACGATCATAATCAACATTTGAAAATGGTATAATTTCACCATTACGATTTAATATTGTTTTACATTTTTTTAAAACAATTTCTGATGCACCTTTTGTATACATACGTACTATTGAATCAGGACGTTGTATAACAGTTGACATACTTTTTCGTACAGAATTAAATGTATAAACATGTACAAATTTTTCTTCAGTATAACGTTGACGTATATCATTATAATTACCATTAAGACCAACAACAAAACCTAATAAACCACATTCAGTTTTATTACCAACTTGTTTTGGTAATGTTTCTTTTTCAGGTGGAGCCTTGAACAAAAAATAATATTATTAATTTAAATTTTTTTGCAATAAAAAGTAAATTACTTACAAGTAATTTTGATGCATAACTACTATTAACTGATATACCTTCAAGAATAATATCTTTTGTTTTATCTGGTATAGAAATTTCTTTAGCTCTTATTGGATTTTCAACATTTTTCCAATGTTTTTCACCAACATAAACTTGTACAACAGTCATACGATTTGTTGTTAATGTTCCAGTTTTATCTGAACATATAGCTGTTGCATTACCCATTGTTTCACATGCATCCAAATGACGAACTAAATTATTATCTATCATCATTTTCTAAATGTAAATTAAAAATTTTTTCATTTTATAAAAATAAATTTTGTTTTTTTTTTATTTTTATTTTTAAATTAATTAACTAACTTTAACAGCATAAGCTAATGATATTGTTACAGCTAATGGTAAACCTTCAGGTACAGCAACAACTAAGACAGTTATACCTGTAATTAAATAACGTACAAATCGATTAAAATATTTATTACTCCAACGTTCACGACTAGAATATTATAACAAAAAAAAAAAAAAAATTTTAAGGAAAAAAATTTTTAATTTTTTATTACCGTTGAATAAATTCTTCAACTGAAAATCGTACCAGTAGAACAATTACAGTTAAAATAGCAATTGTCATGCCTGAAATAAAATTTTTATATATAGTTTAATAAATAAAGAATATAGAGAGTGACTCTAGTCTCTACTCAAACCATGAGATATTCATGAAAAATATAAAATATGATCTATTTCAATGAAAAACAAAAGTGTTTTATGAATCAAGTCAATTTGATATTGTTATTATTCCAGACTCTAATTAATTGTTTACTTTCTGTAGAATGTTTATTTGCTTTATTTATTGAAGTAATTATCTATTTCGAGTAATAAAATATCGGATCAAAATGGCTGCCGACAACAGTTTCCAGGATTTATTTAGATTCATTATCATCAAATGAAATAAACTAGGCTGAAGGCCGTTTTTTCACACCTATGACTATTTTTTATTACAGGTAAAATGTATAAATAAGTTATGCATAGATGAGTACAAATAAATACAATAGATTAATTTCGGTAGTTCGTCATTCCCTAGTATCGTCTAGAGCATTCAATAAAACTATGTAGCATGATTCATTTGGAATGAGTTTTTCTAGCATTATTTTATTTTTAATATAAACTAATACATAAAACAATCTTTATTAAAACTACAAGACAATCAAGAAGTCTTCCATAATTATTTTTCAATAAAGTCTTATCAATAAATCAATGTTTTTTATCTAGCGTGGGAGTCAAATGGGTAGTTTCCCACCTGGAGTTTGTTATTATTATTATTATTATTATGTTGTCTATACTTCCAAAAATAGATGTTTGCTTGTCGGGAAGAGAAAATCTGGATACAACACTGTAATAAACAATAGCAAATCTGTAGTTTATATTATGACCTTCTTTCTAGGCAAAATATTAACAATAGACATATGCGTCATTTCGATATCAGTATCAGAACTAATGATTTCTAATTAGAAAAAAAAAAAGAAAAGAAAATCAAGACTAATGATTCCAACACCATCCTGGAAATCATACATATATATATGTGTCTGATTTCAATCTAAAAATAACTACATTTACAAGTGTCTATTCATATATCATCTCTCGAAATGATTCATTGTTTTGTTTTTTGCAGAAAAAAAAAACCTAATTCACAACAACAACATAACTACAAAGCACAAAAAAAAAATTAAATTACCAATAAATTTAAATCTCATGTCATTTATGATTCTATTTTATATCTTCACAAATGAAATAACTTCGCCTATATCATTGTCTTTATCAGCCACTGGCATCAACTCTATTCTCCTACGGTTGACTAAACATCAACTCTATTAGATTAGTGTCAGCGGATAAAGAATTAATTCAATAGAAACAGAGGAAAAAAAAATTATATTAGTACTTCTACGTTGGTTTTTTTTTTCTATCAATTTGCGTAGGAATATATATATATATATCATCATGTCTATTTATAAACTCATCTATAAGTAATGAAGTAAATCGTACGATTAAGATTATTTCTGTGCGAATATGATTAATCTACAAAATCTTATCCTAAAGTTCAATATTCTTTCTTTCTTTTTTTTTTTTTTCTTCAAAGTCGAAATCCAAAAGAAAGGAAACAAAAATACATATATATGAACTAATCTATTTTGAAAATTTGTTTTTAATCAATCTAACCTGCATATCCAATTTGAATAGCTAATTTAGTTAATTTTGCTTGTAAAATTGATCGTTCTTTAACTTTAAATCCTCCTGTATCATCATCACCAGCTGTTTCTTTTTCTTGATCAATAGCAACTTCTTGTAATTCAGTTGCATCAAGATTATTTCCAGTGGAACCTATTTTTTTGAAAAAAATAGCAACCAAATTAATATACATCGGATAAAATATATCAATTTGAAAAGAAAAACAAGAAAACAAACGACAAAAACCTGCGTTCAATCCTGGTGTTACCAAATGTTCACTAGCATCAGCATCAACACGACCATTCGCATCTGAATAAGCATGAGGAAAAACAAAATCAAGGGTAAACATAGGTTAAATAAAAAAAAAAACAAAAAAGGTTCACAACAATATAGATATATAATTTTTTCTTTTTGATGTATCTATTTCAACATACTTTCTTTTTTATTTTTCGGTGCTTTTTTCTCTTCATCATCTTCTTTTGTTGCACCCAATAATTTAAATATCATTCCTGTTTGACTATGTTCCCCAACAGCTAATACTAACATTTTTCCACTACCTTCCATAATATGTGTACCTTGAATAAAACAAAAATAAAAACTTTTTATAATAAAAAACTAAAATCTCTAACAATAGGAATCAACTGTTTGAATTTATATACTAGAATCATTTTGTAACAATAACGACTGAAAAGAAAATTTGATTAACTGAAATAATGTTATATCAGAAGAAGTACTAGTCTAGTTTCCATTAACATATTTGAGTGAAAAGTCTCAAACAATTAAGTTCATCTTATGAATCTTCAGCGAACTACAGTCATTCTAGGAAAAACCTCACAGTGTAGAAATATACTAAATTTTCATTAAAACAACAGAAAATTATCTTTTAAGCCAATCGTACAATGATTATCGTTCGCTGAAGATAAATAATAAACATCTTATTTTATTCAGAAATGTTTTTTTCTATAAGATTAAATCCTTTATAAAACGTTTTTTGATGACATTGACAAATCTTTCTTTTTTGTAAAGATCTTTGATTCAAATCTATTATTAAAAATATGATAATTACTTCTCATGATAGGAAATTATTTCAGACTAATTAAATCTTTTGCTATAATTCAGTCTAGCTATTTACTGTTAAGTGAAGAAAAAAGTCAAATTTACTTTATTTCTAAACTTTTTTGCGTTCATCTTACATATCGAAAAAAAAACAACATAATTTCGATATGCAAATTAAGTTCATAGATATATCAAATGACTTGTAGACTATTCTAGAAATTTCCGTCGACAAGAATGTTCTTTTATTGAGATATCAAATTTCTAAAAAATATTAGCTTGTCATCAAAAAATTGAGTTTACTTGAGAATTCAATATCTTGACCAAGACAAAACAAAAAACACATTCTTTCCAAATATTCTAAAGATTATTAAGCCTATCCTATAGACACAACATTCCATTATTTCATTTTCTTTTTTTTTTTTTTCTGTAAATATCGAAAGCTAAATCGAAAATTCACTACAGAAAAAAAAAAAACCATCATCATAGGAACAAAACCCTTTTTAGATTTTTATTAATCTCATTCAATAGAATGTTTATCTAAGCTCAAAACAATGAATATTATTTTCACAAAAACAAAAAAACTTTTTTTTTACCCGATAAAAGAAATGGATCTTTTGATTCATGTTTTTTAATTAAATCTGATTCACCAGTTAATGATGATTCATCAACTTTAAGATCATTTGATTGTACAACAACACCATCAGCTGGTAATAAATCTCCATATTTAATTTGACATATATCTCCAACAACAATATCTTTGATTAGAATTTGTTTAACAGTATTATTTTTAACAACATTAAATTTTTGATCACTTTCAATTTTTGATTGAAGACCACGAAATTGTCGTTCTTTTGTCCAATCATTAAATGCTGTTACAAGAACAACAACAATAACAGCAATAATAATTGCTGCACCTTCAATCCATTCAACATTTGCTTCTTCTATAAAACAAAAAAAAAATTGAAAGAACATAATAGAAGAAAATATGTAACAAAATATTGATTTTACTTTGTTTTAATTCAGCTTGAAATGTTTCATCAGTTGGATGATAAAATGATAGACCAAATGAAATTATAGCACATATTATAAGAATAACAAGTGTTATATCTTGAAGGGCATCAAACATAAGACGAAAAAATGTTTTCGGTGGTTTAGGTGGAATTTCATTACGACCAAATGCTGCTACACGTAAGGCTAAATCAGTTTCATCTTCGGCTAAACCTTAAAAGAAAATTTTTTTTTGTTTTTAATTTGATTTTTGTTGCAAACGAAAATTTTGTTACCAGTAATTAAATTTGTTTTAAGTTTTTGTCCTAGACCAGCAAGACCACCATAACTTTCATTAAGTTTTAAAATACCTTCATGACCTCGTGTTTGCATTAATTTTTCTAATTCATCATAAGAAATGCCAAATTCTCGACGAGCTTCTTCAGGAGAAATATCATTTGCACCATGAGTAATTTTCTTCTTTTTAGCCATTTTTGGTTTTTTTTATTTTTTTATATTATTTATTATTATTATTATTATTTATTCGTTTATGAAGAAGATAATATCTATTGATGTAAATCGATTTTTAACAATTTATTCTGTCGTTGAAGAAACAATAAAATCAAACTCATGATTTATTCATTTATTCAATATACAACGACAGATAGATCTTAAAACAAAAAAAAAAAAAAGGAAGAAACTAACTGATAACTTATATCTCATGATAATAGAGAATAGGATATTTTTTTTTCTTTTTTGCCAGAAATTTCTTGATAAGAAACAAAAGGTAGAGAATACAACGATCGATGATTTCCATATGGAATCAAGAAATAGAATTGTTTGACCTTTTTTTCTGACACTTAATATATTGATAAGCGATTTTCTATGTAAGTTTAACATAGAAAAATTCGTCGAATATCAAGTACAAACTAAAAACAAAAAAAAAAATGAAATATTCATCTGCATATGACATATGTCATGTTATAAAAATTGGTTAATCTTTCTTTGTTTATTGATTAGAACTTACTAGTCTTATTTGTTGCTTGAGTATTCCATAACATGATTTTTTCTTTTTTTTTTTTTTTTTTTTTCTACATATTATATTATGCGGTTAGTTAGTCGAGTAAAGAAAGAAAAGAAAAGAACATATAGGAAACTATGTGCACTGATAACAAGAATAGCAAAAGCAGCAATCGTAGAAATAATACTAAAAAAAAATCAGACTATTCGACAACAATCATACATATATATATATATACGCAAACCATAAACAGAGAACGCAAAAGATACTCGAATAATAATCACCTATCAGATAGTCTAACGTAAAAATCGTGATGACACATATTTTCTATCTAGAAAATAGGAACAAAGTAAATAAAAATCAAAAACGAATGTTAAGAAAAAATAAAAGATGATCAGCAGTGTTAACTGCAGGTGTTGAAGAAAAAATATACAATTAGTTTGTTTTCTGTTTTTCTTTTTCTTTTTGTTTTACTGTAAGGGTAAGAAATATAAGAAGACGAAGAAGAAAAACAACTATCATCAACAACAACGAAGACTATTCAGATAATAACTATTAATGGCATGTTATTATTTTCGACTACTCTTATTCTTCCTTCTTTCTTTCTCTTCATAGAGAAGCCGACAAGGAAAATAAAAAATTATTATCCTCTTTCTGTCGGTTTTTTTTTTTCAATATTACTTCTTTTTTTTTTTTCTGTCTGATTACTACATGTCTCACTTTGTCATCATCATCTTCAATACTAGTTATATAAATGTATTTACAAGAACAATTATAAAAAGAAACATACAACAATATTCTTAGATAGTCATTATAATGATCTATTAAATTGGTTTGTCGAAAAAGCAACAACAACAACAACAACAGAATCACTCCTTTTTTCGAATGATTTTACAGTTTTTTTTTTCTGTTTAGGATGACTGGTGTAAACGTGTTTTTAATTACGGAGAAAATGAGTTAGGCTAATGACGATATTATCAGTAAATCAACTAGAAAATAACTCATGTATATACGAACGTGTTTAATGAAGCAATGCATAAAATTTCAGATAAAAAAAAAAAAAAAAGAAGGAAAATCTATTGATATTTGCATATCAAATTTATTTATTTTTCCTAAACAAACATAATAGAAAAAAAATAAATTCCGTTCATTTATTCCCTTGATGACTATAGAGATCAAAATTTCAATAAAAAAAAAAAATAGTCATTGCAACCTTACCCAAGGGATTATCCAAGCATCTTGTACAATCAGTCAGTGTTCTTTATTCTTATACGACAAAAGACAAATCGTGACTTGGTTACTAATCCTTCCTGTAGTTTCTTCTTCTCTTTCTCGATTTTCTAGGTTAATGGTACTGCTAGTGGTTGTTATTGTTGTTTTTCTCGTTGTCGACATATTCTTCTTCACGCGACCGAACTATTTTGCTCTTCCTATCTACGGCACATTTTTTCTATCGTTTTACAAGATTACTATTGCTACTGCTTTTTCTCGTTTGACGACGACATGTTCGAAGAAATAGTAACGGAACTCGATTTTTCTCTTCTTTTTGCCTTTATTTTCTCTTTCAGTTTTTCTTTTTCTTCTTCTATCTTATACTCTCAAACTAGCGTTTGTTTTTGTTCTCGAACTGGGATGTCTAACTATTTATTAGCGGCATCACAAACATATACAACCCAACATCTTCTCTTGCTTTCCGTCGTTCTCTTCGACAAGATGAAAATCGCTTATCGCATCATTGTCATTCGACTACTTGAGAAGACGAACAAACAAGCGAATGACAGCGCAAATGATGATTATTATTGATAGTGAACATACTAAGAAAAAGAAAACCGAGATGAAATACAACAACAACAAAAAAAAAGAGAAAAAAAACTATATGGGAATGTAAAAGAGACCTCTGCATACAGGAAATTGGTATGTGCTGTGTGACGAGTACCCCACGATACGGCTCATTTCCGGCTGGATACATTCTTCTTTTTTTTGCTCGAATGTATGATGAATGGAGCTCATCATCATCATTATTATTATTATTATTATCATCTATTGGAAAGAAACTCTTCTCAGTTTTCTTTTCATTGATAAATACATATCCTATTTTTGAATTAATATGATAGAAAACGAAGAAGAAGAAGTGCTCGAAGATAAGAAAATTTCATATACATGTATGTATTATAACAACTAGAAAAAACCGACCATGTGCAACATTCCAAAAACGGATATTAGTGAAACGAACGAGTCCTTGTAGACTAGATCTATGGCGGTAATAAACCAATTATTATTTATAGATGGTACCAAGATAAAAATATATGATAAACATATTTATTCTCTTGAATTTTCTTATGAAAGACAAAATAAATCAAAACAATTTTATGTAATTCTTTAAGTTATAAATTCTATAATGAGGTCGCTACTAGTCAGTTAAACTTATATTGTAGCAACCCTGACTTGATTTGTAAGCTTATTGTCTATTTAATATTGTTTTTAGCTTATTTATCAACAAATAAAAAATATATGCACAAACACACACACTATTCGATCTTATTTACTTATCTAAATATCATTATCATATTTATATATACGTCAAGGCCTTACTTAATATAAGAAAAATCTCCATTAAAATTAGAAGCGAAGAATTCTTATTGTCAGATTTTGATTGATTAACATTACGGAAAGCATCGAATATATTTGATGAAAAGATTTTTATAACAAATAATACATCCGAAAAAAAAAAGTCATTTATTTGACAATAGTTTTTGTTTTTTTTGTTGATAGATGCTAAATTATCAAATATAGAAGATTAATGTCGATGACTCCAAACTCGTCAGATTATGTTGTTGTTGTTTTGTTTTGTTTTTATTAGAAAATCTCCAGCAACAAATGGGAAAAGGAAATACTCAAAATATAATGAACTAGTAAATGTTTGACTGTTGTTGATTCAATCAATATAAATCTTTGATTACTTCATTTAACATATTCTCTATAGAATTTATATTATTATTAAAAAAAATTGAAAAATTAATTATTTTATATATCATAAAACGAATACTAAAGTATTAAAAATCTGAATAAATCATGTTTAATATCTCATACAATAAAGATTTGAATGTGTTTTTCTATACGATAGACTATTTTATATGACAATCATTATTAATGATATGTTTATATGATATATTAATCTGAATAAAAAAATCATGAATTTTTTTTTTTTTTTTGAAATTCGATTCAATATGAATGTACACGTACTTTCGATTATAGATATTTATATATGAATTAATAATTCAAACTATTCTGAATGATATTATGTAGAATAGAAACATGTTGCTTTTGAAAAATATATGAAACATGTTTAACATTTGCGCATGAATATAAAATTTGAGATTCGTTTTTTTTTTTTAGGTATCATACATGCATACTAATCGAATCTATTCTCTATATCTATGAATAGAAAAGATATGCGGAACAAAAAAAAAGATTTTTGTTAGTCTCGATATCAACAACTTTGTTTCTAATGAAAACTATTCGTATTGCATCTAAAACAAGTTCTTTAATATTCATTTTATCGACGACTAATACTTGTCTCTTTCTGATTTATAAGATATTTAAGTTCCAGTTCCGTACATCTCTAACCATTAGTAATAGAATTACGACGAAAATATGTCGCATTATAGATGTATCGTTATTCTATTCATTTTTTTCTTTTGTTCGTATAACTATACATAGAATAAATTTTGTTGCAGATGCCGAACATTTACATATTTTCATGTCTATCTTCTTTATTTTTTTTTTTTCTATGATAATATTTCGATTAGTCATTGATCGAAAATACGTGATGACATTGAATAGAAATGGATAGGTTTTAAGAATAATTTACCTTGACTATAAGTAGATATGTATTACTAATCTGAATCAAAAGAAAACAAGCGATTGACGTAATTTGAATGACGTTTTTAACGTATGTCACAATAAATATCTCGTGTTGCAATTATATGAAGTCGTAAAATGACAGATATTTTGTATTAGTATGTAGATATTTGAGAGAAGTTATTATTATTATTATTATATTTAACTAAGTATTTTGATACAATTAACAAGGACGTTATCATCTATTTCATTTCTAAGAAGTTGTAATGATACAACTAAACTTAGACATGTTCTGTTTTTTTAAGACATGGATAATGAAAGATTGAATACATTTAAGAAGACATTTAAAACATTTATATTTGTATAACTAAAAAGTCATGATAAGAATCTGTTTATTCGCATTTTAATGTTTGTTTAAAATCTCTTCACGCTAAGGAAAAGTCAGTTTACATTAGAAAAATCGAAATTGAGATGAATACATGGAGAAAATAGCCTGACATCTAATTTTTCATAAACAATATGATTTTTTCATCTGATATCTCATTTGCGAATAATTTTTGATAATTTCCATGCTTGAAAAATTTACTTTTTATTCCGAAAGAAAGGTACATGTTTTTCTCATCGCTCTTCTCAGAATTCTCGTAGGAGCTTCATTATAACCAACAGCTATTTCTTTTTTTTTTCTTGAAATAGCATATTAAACTGTAGAACCAAATTTTTTCAATTATAAGCTTTTCTACTACCATATAAGAAAGTGCTTCTATAAATAGATGAGCAGTTTTTGGGAATTCTTCGAAGTTTCGAACTTGTCATCCTTTTCTTCTGCATGGAAATTTATTAAAAAAAAAAAAAGGGCACCATAGTTCAAAGTCAGTCGGATTTGCCTCCGAAAAGTTTGAACTCAATGTAGTCTAATCATCTAAGATGTGTTGGGCATACTAGTCGCGGAATATAAAAAAGTATTTCACATCTTCAAGGTAACAATCCAATTTCGACTAAAAAATTTTATTGACAATATAAAAGCACACTTCAGCAGAATCCGAATTTCATCCACTAGATCCGGCTCACAAAAACGTTCGGCAACATCCGAAAATTTTTGATTCAACGAGCTCTACTGTAGTCTGACATATTCTTTCAAATAAGGAAAAACAAATAAATTTATATCGTGAGTGCCTAAAGAGAATTTCAGTTTATCAAATGCACTATTTTCAACGCTTGTTTATTGCATATGCTTCGAAAACATCATGATACAGTGCTAACAATTGTAGCATAGCCTGTGTACTATAGTCGCCGCTTTACTTATTAAAATCTTTAATATGGAACAACATAAATATTTATTTATCTAAATTATTATATGTCGAAAGTTTCATTGCTAGTTTTTGCTTTGTTCACTTTAGTCATAATTGACAGTGTTTCTGATTAAAATATAAAAAAAGAAAAAAAGAAAAGACAAACATGAATTAATAATAAATGTGTTTGTGTTAGCAATATGAAACGTAAAGAAAAAAAAAAACAAACTCTAGAAATTGAAAGGGACAAAAAGAAATAGAAACCGGATAGAAAGAAAATTTTTTAATAATAAATAAATATTATTTAAAAATCAGTTGCTGCGATATCCGCTGATAATTTATCAATTAAATCTCCTTGACTACTTGAACTTGTTGTATTGACTTGAATAATAGGTTTTGATTGTTGAACTGCAATATTCATTTTTATTGGTTGTTGTTTATTATTTGTTGTAATAACTTGTGTTTCTACAAAAATTTATTGCAAAAATAAAAATATTCAAAAAAAAAAAATTCACCTGTTTGAGTAACAGTTGTTGATGATCCAGTTGGTTGTTGTTCAGATGTCATTTCTTGTAAATATTTAAATGAACGTGATGGATGTGTATCAAGTTTATTTGTATTTAATGAAAGATTTTGTTCATCATATTTATTTAATAATTGTTGTTGTTGTGGTTTATTATAACCAACATTTGATTTTACATTATTTTGATCATCATTTTGTGTCATCATTTGAAGAAAACGAAATGAACGTGATGGAACTGTTGAACCTGTATAACGTGGTGCTTCAGGTTCACGTTCACGAAAACTTGGTGGTGCTAAAAAAAAAAACAAAAACATGAATTAAATTATTATTTTTAAAATATTTATTCTATTACGTTTATTATAAATTTCCATTAAATCTTCACGATTATTAATTCCTGATGTTCGATTAATAGGTGTATTTTGTGCATCATATTGATCTTGTAATATTTTAAATGCACGTGATGGCATATGAGCATCACTACTACGTCGAAGACCAATACTATCACCTGATACAGTTGGTTCATCAACTGTTGTTATTGTTGGTTCTTTATTATCACCATTACTGTTATTATATTGTTCTTGTAAATAACGAAATGATCGTGAAGGAAGACCTGATGTACCACTAGAACTTCTACTACGATCTTTATTACCCATTTGTTCATCAAGGACAGCACGAGCAACTATATAAAACAATAATATTATTTTTTTCTTTTATGTAACAATGACAAAAAGAAAAATTTTTCCAAATCAAATAAAGAATACAATTCTGAATGACAGATTGCAATCAATATGTCCATCCGATAACATTCAACTATGTAGATAAGGTCACTGAACTAAATTGAACATGTCAACAAAGAAAAAAAAGAGTTATTAACTAAGATAGATTGATATAATATGATATGATAATAAAACAAACTAATTTTTGTTGTACAACAAATAAAAGATATGATCAGTGAGAAGTTTACTTATTGATAATATACTTTTATCTAATGAAAAAAGTTCGAATGTTTAGTTAGTGTACGAGAGGTACCCTTTCGGAAGAGAAAATTCAGATAAAACATTGAGAAATCTTATGAGTAAGGACTATATATGTGTATCATATGAATTCGAATGAATGATGAATCACTTTGCAAAGAATTCGAGATTAGAGATATTGGAATTTTTTAATTCAATGCTATAAGTTCGTCTTAGGAAAATTGATTTTGGGATTTGAAATGATCTTCTTTCATCGAAAGAGAAAATAAAAATGACTCAAAACTTTCATGATAAAATCTGTGGCTTTGTGTCAATAGTAGCAATAAGCTTAAGGTCGGAACTCTTTTCATCATATTTATTACTTGTTAGAACCTACATAATGTATATAGTTTTGACTAAAAAGAAAAGCAATTAATCAGTTGTAGAGAACTTCTATCCTTGACTTATCAATACTTTTATATAGACCTAAAGAATAACAGAAAAATCAACTATATGTATGATGTTATGTTAGGAATTAATTCATAAATATTCAATATTTAGAATCTTAGTATATAAATATTTCAATTAGATACTTTTGTCTAATCCGTTTTTTTTATAATATTTACAATAAACTTGTCAATTCAATATATTAATGATTATTTAATAGTTCTATCTTATTACAGATACGTATAAATTACAATCTTTGGTATTCGATAAAGACATATATATGTGATTAAACCTTATTTAAAATATATTATCCGATTGAATATTAACAAAAAATGTAAAGGTCAAAAGTCTTACCTGCTGATTTATTTGCTGTTGTTGTTGTTGTTGTTGATTGTGATGGTGGTGCAACTGGTGTTGGTACAGTTTTTTCACTATCAGAAATCCAACCTTGAAGCATTTGAAATGACCGTGATTGTGTAACTCTATAAGATAAATTCGAATCAAAATCTTCTATATATATATTAAATATATACATACACATCTGTATCATGTTGAATATGTTTTTTTGTTGGTGGTGTTGCTTGTTGACGTGCATAATTAAATGATTGAGTTGGATTTTGTGGGGCATAATGATGTTGATTCATATTTTCAGGTGGAACTATCATTCGACGGCTCATATTTGTTTCGGATTCTTGTGTTTCGTTTGGTTCTTCAGTATTCGATGTATATTCACGATGACTGAAATATTCACAAAAAACGAATATAAAACAAAAAAAAAAAAAAAAGAAAAGCGTCGATAAGTCGAATAAAATGACAAGCTATTATATTGTCGCAAACAAGGTCATCCTCAACATCATAATCTCATAGAAGCTCAAATTGGTCAAGTTCACTATTATATATATATATATATATTCTAACGTCTCGTTTTTCACTTTGTTCTGTTCTTCTATTACATTTTTTTCTCTCTTTTTTTATTTCATATGTCAAACTAGTTATGTATTTTTTTTTAACATTTCAAAAATGATTTTGAAAAAAAAAAAGAGAAAAAGAAAAAGACGAGTCATGAACTCACTAACGTTTTTTTTTTATTGTTGTTTGTCATGAAAGAAAAACAATGAAGTTAATAAAACTATTCAATATATTGTTTTTATTCAGGAATTATATTGTTAAGTATTGATTCACATAAACATTATATTTTGTATCAGACTGTTTTTTTTTGCCTTATTCTTTCAATAGTATAAATAAAATAAAAAGGTGAAAGATAAAGTAACTCGGCACTATTGACTTACATTATAGTTTTAAAACAAAAAGCGAGTCATCTACATGTGGACCATCATAAAAAAAAGATTAACAAAGAATATATAAAGATAGCTTCTGTCCTTTTATCAGATTACAAGAAGTTTTACACTTATAAAATACCTTCGACCTTTGTCATTTTCACATCTATAGATGATGACAAGTGAATGTAAGTAACATATCTTAAAAGAAAAACTACGCAACTATAGTCTGTCATCATTGATGGTACTATATAAGATATCTTATGATGATGCAATCATTACCGTCTAACACGAGCTGATTCACGTATTTTTGAAAGATCGAGACCACCCGGTGTATAAGTAAATGGTTTTGGACCACCAGGACGACTTAGACTTTTAGCAAGAACAGCAGGAATATTTGGAATTTCCTATAAAAAAACACACACACACAACAATGATTCTATTGAATTCAAAAAAAATTATAATGTTTAATTTACTGATGTTTGTTCATTTGATGTAGAAGTTTCATCAGTAAGTGGTCGACTTTTTAATGAAGCTGCTGCATTTGCTATCATATCAGCATCAAACATTGGTGCTGGTGGGATACTTGCAGCAGGCATAGGTGGCGGCGGTGGAGGTGGTGGTGGCGGTGGCGGTGGTGCAACTGGCGCCGGAGGAGCTGCATTAGGCATAGATACTGGTGGCTGACCATAACCATACTGTTGTTGTTGAAAGTCATGCTGATAGTAAGGTTGTTGTTGTTGTTGGTAATAGGGTGGTTGTTGTTGATAGTAAGGTGGTTGTTGTTGAAAGTGAGGTGGTTGTTGTTGATAGTGAGGTGGTTGTTGTTGATAGTGAGATGGTTGTTGGTAGTAAGATTGCTGTTGTTGTGGATGCGGATGTGGGTAGTAAGCTTGTTGTTGTTGAGGTTGTTGGTAATAAGGTTGTTGTTGGAAATTCTGTTGATAATAAGGTGGTTGCTGTTGTTGTTGTTGTTGTTGTTGTTGTTGTTGTTGTTGTTGTTGTTGTTGTTGTTGTCCAGTTGGTCTCCACATCGGAGTTATAGGAGCAGGACGTGGTGCAGCTCCGCTTGGTGGATATGAATAACCGACTCTGAATTTACGAGAAATTTGTTAATAGAATAATCATGAAAAAAAACATTTTTCGATATATACTTATGAACGGTAAGAAAAAGAGCATTTGCACAACGTTGAATAAGTTCAAGAGCATCTTGATGAGTCATATTCGTTACATTATTACCAGCTATTTCCAATAACATATCGCCTGGATCAAGTTTACCATCAGCAGGAGAATCGGGAACAATCTAATAATTAACACAAGAAATGTTTTCTTTTTTTCTTTCACCAACCAAAAAAACAAACAAAAAAAAATTTTTTTTTTTCTCTTATAAAAATGCAAGTTTGTTTTTGAGAACAAAATCCTTAACAAAAGAAAACTATTGTTTTGTCTTTATAGTTAACTAATAGTTGTTTTCTTGTCTTTTCTGATTTATGGATATAATATATTTGTATAATGTATATATGTTGAAAGTTCTTTTGTCGTTTTTTGTTTTTTTGGCAAACAAACATACTTACATTTGTGACTGTCAATGGTTCATTGTATTCTAAACCACCTTGTAGTCGAAATCCCCATGAAACACTACCATCTTGTCGACTAATAAAAACTTTACTCATTTTGATTTTTTCTGCAGTTCGGGTCAGACGTCGAGTGTATATTTGTATCTTCCTACACCCAGACTGAGGACGACTACGACAACGTTTCTCTCTTTCTCGTTTTTTTTTTCTAGCTTGCTCGTTTTGCCTGAGTAAGGAATACCAATATCCGCCAATATCTGTAATGCCATAAAAAAAACTAGAGAAAAGATAAATAACGGCAAAAAAAAGAAGCTAGCGCCTGTTTGCTGTCCTTGGATATGTACAATACTGTGCAAATGTATGTATATTATAGTGAAACAAGGCAGAATAGAACGATAGTTTTCTTCCTTCGTTTGTGTACCGTGTAAACCAAGGAGAGATAGATGAGAAGAAGCAGAAAAAAAGAACGATGTCACTAAACAATTGTTTTTCCTCAATACCGATGCTTTGATGAGACATCGTTATCTTAATATTACGAGACGAAGAGAAGGGATGAGTCAGTTGCTCAGTATAATTTCTTTTTTTTATGAAGTGATAATAGTCTAAATTTTATCGATGAAATAAGTTAGACAAACCACTTAATTTGTTTAGAAATTCTTATCTAATATATATGCATTCAGTATGTTTTATTAATGGATATCAGCTGTTCATACTATGGTTATTTTTCATATTGTGTATTCAAGTGTTCATAATTTATAGCACTTATTATGGTCATTGATTACATTTTTCGCTAGAATGATCTCCAAACTAATATCGAACAAACTTCGATTGTTTATTATAGATTGAATAATATTTATGATTTTACATCAAATTAAAAAAAAACGATCTAGATTAGAAAAATTTTCAATCATGTTGAAAATGTATCAATGAAATGAAATGATATCAAAATGAGTTTATATGAAATAATCGGATCGATTCAGTTTAAATTTTCGAAAATCTCAACCGATCCAATCTCCAGTTCAATCATAGTTTTTAGAATGTATCGTTATTATGTATTCCTTTTTTTTTTCTTTTTAGTATAGCTCTTGATGAAATTTTTCTTTACACTATTTTCATTCTAACCTATGACACGCAAAAGGAAATACACAATTGTACATTTCAAATTTTACAACTATCGATTATTGTCACTTACAAGGAAAATTTGCCAAGTGATAAATTGCTTTGTACATTAACCTTACCTCATTATTTAGGTTCTATTGAGTCGAAAGAAACTGTAGAAGGACTCAGCAGCCATGGATTGTTCTTCTTGAGTTATAGTTATTCTAATGAGTGTTTCAATTTGCATAAATTAAGTTTTTAGCAGAATTAATTTATTATATGAAAGTATTAGATATTCTAGTAATGTCTATTTTACCCAAGGGAACCTTTCCAGATGTAAAATTGCTTGAAGATATCGGAATTGTACTGGATTTTTTTAGCAAAAAGTTTATATGGCATGAAAAATCGATTTTTCGACTTCCAACTTTGCATGAACAAAGTTCTTAATAGGATTAGTTGATTGTACAACTAGTATTTCCTTTCTGGGGATGTAAATCTATGAACAAAATTTGGTTTTATATATCACACAATAGGAAATACTAAAAAAATGGGAGAGAGTGGAGCATAGCGTTTTGTTGAAAGATCCAGTAAAATTTCAATAGATCTATACTATTGTGTTACTTACTAGTGTTCACCACATAAACATCGTCTCAATCGAAAAGCCATTTGACACTTTAAGAGATTCTCGTTCGAGAACAAAATGTTCTCTTTGACAAAGCAATATTTTCAATATTGATATTATACTAGAAAATCCATACTTTCACAATGAACCAGTCTTTTCGATAAGCTCATTTCTCGAAAGTTTGAACTAAAGGGCGTAATTCAACATTGATTTGAGAGAGACTTCAACGTTCTATTGAAAAACTGACTTCAAAAGGAATAGATAGACATGTATGGGAGTGAATATTAAAAACTTAAATTATTACCGAAACTAAAATCTGATATTATATAATTGCCTTAACTCTGTAGCTTTTCAAGTGAAATTTTTCGTACATAATAATAAACCCATTTATTATTTGCATGCTAATACCTTGTAATACAAAAAAGAAAAACAAATTAATAAATAAGACAAAATAAAAATCCAAACAACTTTAATCTTCATAAATAAACAAATTACAATCATATATACATCTTTATAACAAAAGAATAAATTTTACATTATTATAAACAGTATAATATATCTTCGTCATTATCTAATTGCATTTGTTCATTAGACAATCGTTCTTTTTTTCTTTATTTTGTGATTATGATTTTGATAATAATATATGTTATTTGCAATAAATACTAGAGAACTATGATCAGTAGGAAAAAGTTACCAGTACTGGATTGAGATCAAATAGATTTGGTCTCACACATGTCTAACTCTTTGCTTAAGGGGTTTTTGCAATGATTACAAAAAAAAATATAGCGCTTGCTTATAGAAACAAGAAATCGAGTAACATATATGAAAGAAAAAGCAGGAAATTGTGTTAGATTTTAACCAATACTATAAAATTTAGTACTTCTAGAATTAATTGAATGTCTGATTTTCTGTAAAATCAAAACTTCGGCAATAATTCCAACTGTCTAGAACGATTATTGTTCTAGAATTATACGTAATTTTACCGGCTTCTATCCGGTTTTGGATTTAGATAATCTATGATTACTCATAGATCTCTAAAGCAATTTTCTCTTTCATATACATTCCTAGTGATATATTATGTTGTGATACTAAAAGTACAAAGGAAAAAGAGAATATGCTATGACCGAAGAAAAGAAGAAGATTTTATAAGTTACAATATGCATATAAGATTAGCTCGTATATGTATGGGCGTTGTAGCCAAAAGGCTAATTATAATTCTTTTTAGACTTTCTCTAGCCTAAATAAGATCTACGTAATATGATAAAACTCATCTGAAAAGTAATATTTTCTTACAAAAGATTTATTAAGATGATAAATAATATTGAAAAAAGAAAATTGCTGTTATATACAGAAAAAAATAATATATTATTAAATTTATCTAATATAATTAATGAAGATGTCGTTTACCATCTAAATACATCATGGCTTCTAAATATTAAAATAAAAAAAAGAGATTAAAATTTCTTTCATCATAATTCATTTATTTACCAGCATATGTTTTTGGTACAACATTTCCAAGTGATTGTATATTATTTTTTGTTTTAAAAATAAAATAAAAAATATTTGTTGTTGCACGATTTGTTGTATGAATATCAACAACTTCAGCATGTACACGTGTTTGAATTTTATTATCTTCAACATAAACAACCATTGCCGAAAGAAATAAAAGTGAACCAATTTCTACTGGACGTTGAAACATAATATCATCAACAGCAAGTGTACTTAATGATTGTTTTCTAAACAAAAAAAAATAAAATAAAAAGAAACAATAGAAATTATAAACCCTACGCAAATAAACTAGCTGTTGTCCAAGCTAATTCAAATGATTTTCTCATTAAATAACCACCAAAAATTTTATTATATAAATTACGTTGCTTAATAAAATAATAATAATAATAAATAAAGGAGAAAAAAAAAACGAGCTCTGTAAAAACATACTTCTGGATGACAAATATGCATATTTCGTAGAATTGTTTCTTCCATCCACATTGAATTTTCTACTAAAAGACGAGTTCGAAATATTGATGTACTAAAAAATAAAGAATTCTCTTTACTATTATCGTTAAAATACAGTACGGTAGTTTAATGATGGTGTTCCCTTTCGGTTTTAAAGCGATTTAAAGTAATTAAGAGTCTCTTGAAAGAAAACTCAATGGAAGAATTTTTCACACAAAAGTCTTGATTTCCAGACTCGCCTGAACTATCCGAAAATCTAATGATACTGGTATCGCTGTACTCTTATCATATTTGTCTTTCGAATGGCGAAAACTGGTTTTATTATTCCACAGATATTAAAAAAAACAAACATCCGCGTTCATTATACTTTTGCAAGGATAGTATTATGTTCACCTTGGTGTTATTGTTTTGAGAAATAGATTATGAACAATTGTACTTTCAGCTGTATCAGGTGGAATTTTAAATAATGATTTATCTTGTTCAGCTAGACGACGTTGACGTTGTACTATTAAATATTCTATAATTAATTTAAAACTAAAATTATATTTATATTTACTTACATTCTCCCTTTTTAATAATTGCATTATCTTCTTCAGTTGTTCCTACTAATGGATTCATTTTGGCTGATCTGATTTTTTTTTATAATAAAAAAATAAATTCAAGAAAAATATGTGATTATATAATTCACTTTTTTGTTCTTGGATCTCGTGCAGCAAGAACAAATAAAGCATGAAGTACATGTTCCCAAGTACCATTATTATCCTAAATATAATATAAATAATAATTTCTTTTTTTTGTACGAGAATATTTACTTGATCAATTTTTAAAGTAACTTCCATAGAAGTTTTACCAACAAATGAAGCAAAACCACTTAAACGAATATCTCGATCCATGTGCATATGGGGTACTGCGACTTCTACAAGAACTTGTTTTTTTTTGTTTTAAAATAAAAATAAAAATTCTTTTTTTCTGCTAACCTATACGATCAACAGCAGCAGTAACAATAGCTAATGGATGAACATTAATTGATTTAATTAATTGTGGACTATTATGTTTATATGCAATATGAACTAATATATTAATTAAACAAAAAAATAATATCAAAAAAAAAGAAAAATGTCTTTCTTATATGTAAATACCAGCCATTGTATCAAGATCTTCAAGTATTCTTCCAAAACGTACTTTATTTTCAAAATTAGCATATGGTTCACGTAATTTTATATTTGATGCTAATTTATAAGAAAATAAATAAAAGAAGAGAAACAAGTTTTTTTTTTTTTTTCTTCTACCTAATGGAATAATAGCTTCATCATAACTTTCAGCTATTGTACGTGATATTAATGTAGAATCAATTTTAATATCATCAGTTAATTGAGCATGACTTCCATTATGACTTCCATGAGCAAAAACTAATTGTGCACCA